AGAAGTATTCTTTTCTGACTTTTATAAACTCCATTGGCTTACAGTTTCTTGCTCTGATAGATTTTATCTTGAATGGTTGGGAATCCCTCCCCCACCTCGCTCCTCACAGAAAAGGGTACTTTTCATCTTAGGGGCTGTTTCTTACCTGTCTTCTGTCTCCCCACAAAGCCAGAGGGATGTGAGTGTGTTGATACTGAATGTCCTTCCTGACTTAGGCTTTCTTTTTTTTGCTTGGTTCTAGTAAACATGATTATTTGTTTTTCCCTAGATTCCTGTATTTTTCCCCCTGCTTAAATACATGTTTAACTTCGTCTCTAATTTTGGTAAAATTAAGACGACTCCATTGTTATAAAATAAATAAGTGATATTATATTATTGATATTTCTGGACAAAAAGAGGTTATAATGGAAATTCTCCCCAAAGTAAGCTTTTTATACACTTGAGTAAATCCACGGACATTCTGGTGCTGTGAGTGTGAATCGAAATCCACAGACAAGCCCTAGAACCCACAGTGCTGCAGGGAGAGACTTGCTAGTCCTCACAGCTTGGGAGAGGAGAACGGGGCTGCCTTGTCCCACTCTGCGGCCAGCCTAAGCAGCAGACCCAAGTCACCCAAGGCATGTCTGCCAATTCGAGTTAGCTGTCCCCATGTGATGCTGTGGCTTTGCTCTGTCCGAGCTTTATACCAAAGGCTACTTCATGCCAAGCCCACCCATGTCCCTCATGTTGCCACACAGCCTTTTCGTTTAGTTCTAGAAAAGTGTAACTGACCATCTCCACTGATGTTTCACTTGTAAGCAGGAAATGAAGGGGAAGCCAGATATTTTTGAGTTTGAGAGAGATCAGTGATCACAGGCCATCTTCTTTCCATAAGAACAATGATTGAGACATTCATTACTTCCTCTTTTACTTTCTGGAACATGACGTGTCACTTCACGTTAATTTGTGTGATCAAGGAAAGGTATGGCAGATGCAAAATATGGAATATCCAAGAGTATGTTCTGTTTGGCTTTTGCTGCATGGTGTAGTGAAAAGAGCATGGCTTGGGTGTCTCGGTTTCGAAGCCGAGTTCTGCCTTTTACTAACATTGTTGCTGGAGCAGGCTTCATTAACCCTCTCAAGGTTTTGGTCATTTGTAAATTAGGGATAAAAACACAGCTGTCACGATGGTGAGGATTAAGTGTGCCGTGTGTAAATCCTAGTCCAGTCTCTGACGCTTGTTTATCAGAGTATAGGCTAGGCAGGCACTGCACATACACTAAAGGGCCATTTCATTTCCTTGGATGATTATTTTTATAACAGTTTAAAACAATTTTTGTATAAAATGTACATTGTAGGAAGTTTTGGAAATACACAAATGACAAAAAATAAAACTAAAAGAGACCCATTATTCTTTTATGCTAGAACTTAACCACTATTAATATTAATGGGAGCCTAGTGCTTTTTCTTTATTTTGAAATATTTTAATTTTAATATATAGCAAGTTGAAAAAATAGTAGTGTTCACTTTACCTATATTTACCATTTGTTAACTAACACATTGTCACATTTGCTTCTTTTCTATCATAAATTTTCTTTTTTGCTGAACCGTTTGAATGTAAGATGCACACTTTATGACACTTCACTCCTAAATATTTCAGAACAAGGATAGTCTGCTATATAGCCACAATGCTATTAATTATAGCTGAGGAAATTAACATTAATTCAGTATTATTATCTAATAGACAAATTCATATTTATCATTTTCTAGTTGTTCCAAAAATGGCCTTTAGTTGTTCTTATTCTAGTAGAGGAACCCCAACCCTTTTTGTTTTTCAGACTTTGAATTTTTTAGAGTCAGACCAGTTGAGTTGTAGAATGTCCCATATTCTGAGTTCTTCTGATTTCCTCTTGATTCAATTCACGTTAAGTATTTTTTGGCGAGAATATTCCATAGTTGATACCGTGTGTGCATCACAGCAGGAGGCATTTCATGCCAGGTTGTCCTTCTATTTGTGACACTCTTTGATCACTTGGTTAAGATAGTGGTGACTGCCAGCTGTCTCCAGTGTCAAAGCTCATTTGCCCCTGTGGCTAATAGGTAATCTGTGATCCTCTGAGTCATCTGATACTTTGAGACTACGTGAACATCCTGCTCGCCAGCAGTCTTTCACCGGGTGGTTTTAGCATCCAGTGGTGATCCTTGCCTGATATTCTTTTGACACACACACACACACACGGGTGTGTGTGTAGGGGAGCAGACTTCGATATTGTTTGTAGTCTATTCACTTAGTATTCTGGACTTTTCCCCCGTGTAATTGAATGCTCTTCAGTGTCATTTGAGTGACAACATGCTATTCCATTTACTGGATCTCCCGTGGTTTATGTGGCAGTCCCCTCGTGTCAGATGTGTAGATTATTTCCCATTTTTGGTTCTTGGTACCTATGTTGCGCTAGCTGCCTCCTGCATAGTTTTGGGGAGGGGCAGGGAGGGGGTTGCCTTCTTTTTCTGTGTTATATAACCTTGCTTCCATGCTGGTCTGTAATACTCAGAACACCTTGGAATTCCCATTTTCTGCTGCCAAAAGGAGTTGTAAACCAGAAGCGCATCCTCCTAGAGCATGGGATTTACCTAGGAAGGTACTCTCACCATAGACTGGAGGGATAGGAGTGGGCCCTCAGGGCAGGGGCAGCCCAGATGCGCCACAGTGGCAGAGGAGGGCTAGCTAGTTAATGTGCTCTGTTAGTAGCTGGCAGAGTGGTTCTATTGTAAAACCACTCCCAGATGGTATGTGCTTATACTCCCTAAGAAAGGTGTACCCTGTAAAATAACTTATTTCCTTAAGAAAAGCCAGAGTTACCTCTGGTCATCCACATGTGGTTCAGAGAATCCCTCTTTGCTCAGCAGTGGTTCCCTCTCCTCCATGTGCTTCCC